GATAGATAGATAGATAGATAGATAGATAGATAGATAGATAGATAGAAAGATAGACAAATAGATAGATAGATAGATAGATAGATAGATAGATAGATAGATAGATAAATAGATAGATAGATAGATAGATAGATAGATAGATAAATAGATAAATAGATAGATAGATAGATGAAGGTGAAAGGATAGATGAATGAATGAGTGGATGGAAGAATGGATGGTATAATTGACTTCTCCTCTCATCTGTCACCAGCCCCCTGGGAAACCTAGAAACTGATTATTTAGTTTTAGAAACTTGCACCTTTCAAGCAATTCAACAGAGGGGACAATTTTAGGATAAGAACTAAAATCTACAACAAAAATAAATGTTTTAAACCTACTCTTTGCCATCAAGTCCCCCCCCCCCTCCTTCGGCTTGCCCCCCTGCACCCTCCTTTCATATTATAGTAACTCCTGGCTTACGACTTATGAGTGTTCAAAAATTATAATTTCAATTAGATAATATATCATCTCATTTTGTACAGGTCATAGTATAGATAGATAGATAAATTGGTAGATAAATTGGTAGATAGATAGATAGATAGATAGACAGATAGATAGATAGGTAGATAGATAGATATATTATATAGATAGATAGATAGATATATTATATAGATAGATAGATAGATAGATAGATAGATAAATAGATAGATAGATATATAGATAGATAGATAGATAGATAGATAGATAGATAGATAAATAGATAGATAGATAGATAGATAGATAGATAGATAGATAGATATTTGATTAGATAGATAGATAGATAGATAGATAGTAAAAGGGGTAGTAAGTAATTAAGTAGTAAGTAACTATATTTATTTATGAAATATTTTAGAAATATAAATTTATTTGTAATGTTGAAAAAAATAAAATAGGCTTAATGGGTTGTAAAAAAGATATAGGATCTACATAAAACAGGCATTTTTAACCATCTTTTTAATTCGCACTGATTTTTGCATTATTTATGTTTGATTATATCTATTACTAGTAGTAGGAGTAGGAGTAGGAGTAGGAGTAGGATTTGACACTAAATACATTAAATGTATAAAACTAAAATATGTATTTGAAAGAATTATTCCCTTAGCTGGGCTCTGCCCGGGGTTCTATTAAATAAAAGATATATGGAGTTTAACCACGGTTTTACTCTTTTATATTTAACCAGACAAATTGTGTGAATTTTTAGGAATTCACCTTTTCTAAGATCATGACTTTTTTGTGGAGGGAATCTATCTATCTATCTATCTATCTATCTATCTATCTATATATCTATCTATCTATCTATCTATCTATCTATCTATCTATCTATCTATCTATCTATCCCCCTCTGTAATAAAGTATGCACATATCTATGTTATAAGGTGTGTATTCTCTCCTATCTGTATTCAGTGTATTGTGTATACGTAAGCATAAAGAATTCAATTACTCCTGGTCTATAGATAATAAAAGATATATGACCCATTCTTTAAATTCTACCCAGATGCTTAAGCACAGAGCCCATTTTGTTCCGACCAATTAGAAGCCGAGCTCAAAACTCGCGTCCAATCAAAAACTGGTATGTTTCTGACGACCAATCAGAAGAAGAAAATTCGCGCATTTTAGCAACGCCCATTTTACGCGCGCCGGATATGGGTATGCTATGTGCCTCTTAGCTTTTATGCAAAACAAATTGAGATTCAAATACTACTTTTCCATTCAATATATTTTCAGTCATAAAATCAAATGTTCTTCAACATACTTGAAATATAATTGAGAATCAAATTCAGTTTGCAATTTTGTTAACCAAATTTCTCTGCAGATCTTCGATCACAGTTTTGTATGATCAAAAACAAAATTTTTTGGGAACTCTTGTATTGTGGATATCGAGTACAATGCTTTATCTAGTTTTTTTAATTTAATATTTTTTAGATATCCCGCAGTGTAATTGTATTCTGAAATTGTAAGTTTAACTCTAAATTATATTGTGTCTACAATAAAATTATGGCTTAGACTGTAGCTTAATATGTCTTAGGCACAATAATATCAAAGTCATATTGTAAGCATGGACAGAGACTTACTTGTAAATAAACTGTAGTTAACGATAACAGTGATAAGTAACCTCATGTATATTATATCACATTTAGGACAGGCTAGAGGGCCGATTGTGGGGTGCAGCATTTTAAAATACTGCACCGACATATTCTTGAAGGTTTACCCCTTTAAGCATATACGTTAAAGATGGCGGGAAAAATAGTAAAATGGCTGGGCCATTTAAGAAAATTGTTTTAAAATGCTAAAATTTCGTATTTGATCTAGTTTTACCCTAAAGCTTCCTGAAAAATCTGTTGCACATTTAGGAATTTTTTTCAGGGGCACCCTAAGGCTAGGGGACCGAGAGCTGCGACCACATTTATCAAATTGACAAAGTGATATTCGATTGTGAGGTTAGGTTAGGTTAAGACATTTCCTCGGCCGAGCGCTGCGGCTAGGACAGGCTAGGGGCGGGAAAAACAGTAAAGTATTTAATTGTTATAATTTTTCCATTGTTCTTGAAGGAAAAAATGCGCAAGTCACTTTTCTTTGCTTTTAAAATGAATAATAATACCGATAATAATAATAATAAATTAGGTCCATCAGATAGATTCAGCTTGCTTACAAACAATCTCATCAATTTTTAAAGACAGGGTTCATTTTAAAGACAGGGTCCATTTTGAAGTGTCGTAACGCCTTAGGCTTAGATTTTACAGCTTTAACTCCCTTTTGCTTTTCTGTACATTTTACCAATATGAAGCACACTTGCTGTTAGTTTTGTTTTTTTAGAAGTAATTGGAAAAATTCACATCGATTTTTGCATGAGAGCGCGTGAGACCTTTAAATCGCAGTGCTAGGTGATAATTTAATAAATTAGCAATTCTAAACCTCAAGTAATTTAAAAAGAGGGGCTCAGCTGATTCACAATGACACCCTTGTAAACGTAATGTTTTACTTTATGAATTATGATGAAGATAATGTTTGTTTTTCAGGACTAAAAAAAAGTTTTTAATTATTATAATTTTTCATTGTTCTGAAGTAAGAAATGCGCAAATCGCTATTGTAAAAAAAGAAACAAATAAGATTATTTTTCTAAAAAACAAAAATATAGATTTCTAGTAAATAAATTTAAAAGGGGGAACATACGAATAATCAAATTGAGAATTTTTTTATCAAATTTGGAGAGATATCTTTATCTGTAATTACAACCTTCAAAATATGCTACAAAGTTTAAACTTTCTTTATATTCATTTAAACAAAGTTGTCAAAACTTAGGTCTATCTATCTATCTTGCTCTATCTATCTCTTTCTATAGTATACATCATAATGCAAGGAGGCTGGTTTAAGATCTATATTGGAACATGGTTTCAAAAATAATGCAAAGAGTTGAGGCATGGGGATGTCTTTAATCCTCTCATATGCGCATAGATTTGCAGTGTGCTAAAATTTTCAGGCCTACATACAGTGAAACCCTTCATAGCGAATGCATCGGAAGAATTCATCAAATGTCGTCTTGACAGAATTTTAATGAGCTTTATACTATATTACGTAAATTTCAGTATTTACGAAAATAAGTAAATAGTCATGAATATGCGGGAACAGTTTTTAAGAGTTCCATATAATCATTTAATTAAAAATCTAAATATCTGCAACATTCCATTATCAGAAAGTGAAGAATACGACATTTGATGAATTCTTTCGATGTATTCGTTATTAAGGGTTTCACTGTAGTTTAGCTACGCTCAATTTAACAAACGCCTGGTTAAATAATTACTTTATTACTAAATTTATATACTTTTAATTCTAAAAATGTAAAAGATTTAAATAGGTAGATAGGTGACGTGGCCGGAAATTGCTCTTCTTGCCGCGTCTAGATGTTAGGTTCAAAACTCCTCAGAAGTCTCGTCTTCCGCCACTACGCCGCCACAGTAGTACATATATATAAATTTACACGTTCAACACCAAGATGTATTTACCATATAATAATTGAATTAAAATATGTTGATTAGCAATATAATAAAGGAAAATTAAACTGACGCAAATTGTGAACTTTTTTGCCTCGAATTCTCAGAGAGTTAAGGGGGGGAAAGGTACCACCGCCCCCTCCCTGTTGCTGCCTTTTTCTTGCAAAGTAATAATAAGAAGCAATGACAATTGCCTTTATCATTTAAATGATTTATATGGGTAAGGAACTATATTTTTGCAACAAATTTAATTTGTATAATCAATACATCTTTGCAACCTGATGGTGTAAACCTTTGATATGTGAAACATATACTATTGGATCACAGAATTCCTAGTTAAAAATAGCAAAGGTCCGCATTATCAGGTTCCAGAGACAAAGGTGGACAAAAACAGTGCTTCTTCTTTTCCTTTTCTTATCTCGACATTGATTTTTTTTACAACTTTTCCATATATATATCGTTTTTAATGTCTCTATTTCGGGTAAATGATTTATATTGATTTAAATGTTATTTTATCGTTCTAACTGAAGCAATCTAAATGAGATAAAAATATATTGGAGTTGTACAAACATCAAAACCTTTGGTGAAATTTGATCTAAAACTTAATATTACAATAATTTTTTGCTTATGAAAGACACGACAGACAAGATAGACAAGACAGACAAGACAGACAATATTGCATGTTTATTTCCCCTAAAAGTAGATATCTATAATAAGCTGATATATATTACCGATAGAAAATATTGATATAGAACTATTAACTATATATCTAGCTTGATACAAAGAATGTTTAACAAAATTTGTATTTAAAATGCCTCCAAGAACATGTTAACTGATGCATACTCTATTTTTTTGATACCCTGTATTAGAAGACAATCATGAACTTTTTTACCTTTTTCTGTGAAATTTAAGACACCCTGGCCATGAGGGGGAAATTCCAGGTAGATGATTTTAACTTTGTAAAGTTTACAGTGTACACTTTACAGCGGAGTAATATTATATATTTGTCTTTTCATGTTTGTTTCTAATAAACGTCAAAACGGCTGAACCGATCGGGCCCAATTATTGTAGGATCCAATACCAGAGACATCTTATCCACGGTCAGAGTTAACAATTTGATTAATTTATCAAAAATACAATTTTTAAGAATTTTTGAAATCCATTAAAAAAATATTAAAAGGAGAAAAAACTTGTCTATTTTGTTTAAAGGAAGGGAGCCAAGAGCCAAGAGAATAGTTTTAGAATAAAATGATGAAATACATTATTGGTAACATAATGCAGGATAGACAAAAAGGTAAATAAAAATCTACAAAAATCAACGGAAGCCTTGCTCCTGAAAAACTCTGAATTATTGGAAGGTTTGCCTCTATGAATTCTATTGCTTGAAGCATATTAATAGAAAATTAGAATTTATATTTTATTGTCGGGTCGAGTGTAACAGTTTAAGCTTGCAATATGGAAATTTAGCAATGAATGTTCCTAGTGGGTGGTTTTTAAAGGGGGGTATAAGGTAGGACGTCGAATGGGGGGGGGGGGATAATCCTTTTTCAAAACCTAAACATAAAAATTGAAACTGTTAGCTTATAACTTTTTTTAATTCTTTTAAAACAAACTCGATGAAATATTTATCATAGTAATTTAAATACAAATCAAATCATAGAAATTAAATCTTTATAGTATGACGGTATGCATAAATAAATTGAATAAATATTTTTGTTTTTGTTTAGATTCCCCCTCCATGACTACAAAACTAATGAAAACCAAAGAAAAAAAGGTAAAATTTTTAAAAAATTCCGAAACATTAAAAAAACGGTTTAATGTTATATTGACAGGAGATAATTACAAAGGATTTAAATCAAACACCTCCTACATCCGGCCAATCTTACCACACTACTTCCGGCAGATCTAACCTCACTACTTCCGGCAGATCTAACCTCACAACTTCCGGCCGATCTAACCTCACTACTTCCGGCCGATCTAACCTCACTACTTCCGGCCGATCTAACCTCACTACTTCCGGCCGAACTAACCTCATCAAATCCGGCCGAACTCTTTCAACTGCTTCTGATAAATTAAAAAGGTACATTTTACATAAATACCCTTCATGGCACAACGAACAACATGGAAAATTATTCATTTTTTATGAAAACTTTTTTAAGAATAAGGAGTTTTTAATTTCCTTATCTAATATTTATAAATGAATTTAGAAAAAGTACATATGTCAGTTTCAAAAAGTAAAAAAAAAATTCAATCCTCCAGCGCAAAAAGTTTTATAGAAAACTATACTTTATAACAGGTTTATACGTTCACTTTCTAAAACGTTTTAAAAAATATGCCAAAAAATTCATTTCCAAAACTCCTTGGCCTAGTACTGCTATATAATTCACCAAAACCATACTGCAGTCCTTCAATTATAAGACATGGAAGTTTGCATCTTTTTAAATATCCCAGGTAAAGATCTCGCACAGGTCTTCTTTAACTTGTTTGTTTGTGTGTATCCAATAAACGTCAAAACTCGGCTGAACCATTCACCCTGGAACTCAGGGAAAGGTTTATTGCACTGCAAGCCAAGATGTGCAAGCTCTCACACAAAAATAGAGCAGTATTTTGCCAATTACTCATTTGAAACTTAAAGGAAGTGTTTGCGAAAAATGAAAGGGGGTATAGGCTTACGGCGAAAAATAAGGGCTTTTGATTGCTACTAATCTTAATTCTATCTGTTGCCTCTTTTAGGAGAAAATTGTTAAAAACACAACTTATACCAAAGAACGTAGCGTCCATACAAATTCGGAAAGATGCAACATTCAACTGGGATCAAAAATAAATCATCAGATATTACAACCAATAGTCATCGATTATTTTTCGACGCATTCGTATACAATTAATATTTCATAATATTCTTTAATTGTTATGATCTGAGAGTTAATTTTGAAAACTTTTATTCCTGTTTCGAGGATTTTTGATAATGACGAAGACGACATTTGCATATTTTTCAGAAATGATCGAAAATTCAGCGCCAGCGAAATATTATTTGAAAAAAAACAAAATCAAAAAAAATATGAAATATAAAGGTTCATTGCACTGCAAGCCAAGATGTGCACGCTCTCACACAAAAATAGATCAGTATTTTGCCAATTACTCATTTAAATCTTAAGCTAGAAACAGGATAAACGTGTCAAGGGCTACAAAAAAGTATATTTGAGTTGGTGAGGTAAAACCAAAGGCCGAGGCGCTGCGACACTTTAAAGTTGAAATTGTCTAAATTTCAAAATGTCAGATTTGAGTAATTTAAGTTTCAGAGTTAGTTAGCTGTCTATATCTTTGTGATTGTTGGTCTGAAATAAAAACTAACGGAGGACACCGTTGATGTTTAAACTATGAAATTTTCTAGATTAAATAGGTTTTATTATCAGTGGTTTACATCAGGTGGCAAAGATATTGGGATTAAACATTAGAGTTTCTGGGCCTCTGACTATTGTTGAGTAATCATTTTCTATGTCTCTGTAAAATTTAGGTTTTTGAATTTTATTTTGGAAAAAACATAGTTTACGAAGAAAAAAGATGGCATGGGAACAACAATTAAAAGATAAGATCATTTCTAGAAAAAGGGTATGGAGAGCCCCATAAAGTTTTTAAATTTTAAATTTTTTTTTGAAAATTAGTCTTTTACATATTTTTTATTTGTTCAGCAGAAGTGGTGGTCCAGGTCCCCTGGAACCTGCTGATCCGTACACAATCAATTTAGACAATATGGACAATTACTTCAGGAAATAAACAAAACAAAAATTTAAAAGTCACGGTTTGGCATACAGTAACGACCAGAAAACAATGGAATAAGAAGACGACATTATAGCATTACTTAAGTGTATTTGATGTTGTTACAAATAGGGATGTCAAAGTTTTCATTTTTTTGAAAAACGATCGTTTCATTATGAAAACGACGACGAAAAATAGAAAACGACACGATCGTTTTTAAAAACGATCGTTTTTTTTTAAAAGTTCGTTTTTTAAAAAATGGTCGTTTTTAAAACGATCGTTTTGAAAAACTATCGTTATTAATTACAATCGTTTTTGTGAAAATCGTCGTTTCGTTAACGATCGTTAACGACGACCATTCGCTAACGATCGTTATCGACGACCCTTCGTTAACGATCGTTAACGACGACCCTTTGTTAACGATCGTTAACGATGACTCTTCGTTAACGAAAAGAGGAAACTGACCTGAAGGGCATCTTTACTTATCATTGTGTAGTTTTTAAGAAAATGTCAAGAAGTTTTAGCTCCCCCAAAACTTTTTAACTTCATGTAAGACGACATTCACTACAGCTCCATGTATTTTTTTTCTTCAAAAATGATCTTTTTTCCAAAAACGACCGTTTTTAAAAAGTTCTTCGTTTCGTTAACGATCGTTAACGACAACCCTTTGTTAACGATCGTTAACAACGACCCTTTGTTAACGATCGTTAACGACGACTCTTTGTTAACGATCGTTAACGACGACCCTTCATTAACGATTGTTAACGACGACCCTTCGTTAATGATCGTTAACATAGTTTTCAATAAATTTTCTTTTTCAAAAACGATTGTTTTTTCAAAAGCGATCGTTTTAAAAAAAAACAATCTTTTCTAAAACGATCGTTATTCGTTTTCCAACAGTTCAAAACGAGTGGGTCGTTTTTTAAAATGATCGTTTTTTCCAAAAACGAAACGATCGTTTTTAAAAACGATTAACAACCCTAGTTACAAAGCAAATAATTTTACTGGACACTTACTAAATTAATAGTTAATTGAAATGGGCCCGTTTCACATGCAATTGCTGTGTCTCATGCATATTCGACTTTTTAATGCTATAACTTAGATCTAACGGTCGTGTCTTCCTATTCCAGAGTTTTCTGGTTATCACTGTAGAAATTTTACCATTTTTACCATTTTTAACCTTTAAATTTAAATTTTGTTTTGGTTTAGTGCCAAGGTTATAGATGAAATGATCAACATAAAATCAATAAAAGAAACTGTTGGTAAACTTTAAGATCTAAAATAAGTTACCTAAAAAAGTGCCAGTTGCCAAGTACCAAGAAACCGTAAAAGTTTAAGAGCACAGGAAGTGCCAAGAAGTTGTAAAGAGCAAAATTGCCAATAATTAGTAAAGAGTGTTAAGTGCCGAGAAATTGTTAAGTACCAATTACTAAGTGCCAAGAAATTGTTAAGTGCCATTACCAAGTGCCTATCACCAAGTGTCATAAAGGATAAAACTAATATTAACTTTCTTCTTTGAAAACATTGCGATTAAAACATTTTTTATAAAAAAAAATTGAGATTAACTTCAATATTTCGAAAATGATGATAACATTTTCAAAGATGGAGTTTTAACAATCAGCGAAAAGGAGTTGAACGATATTTTTGGTCCAGTTTATCAAGCACCAGGTCAGACAACAAACATTCAATAAATATCAATTGGAATTAAAGAAACACAATATCCATTGGTATTAAGTTATGATTAGATAGATCAACTATGTAATGCAAGAAAAGTTATTTCAAAAGTGTACGCATCTTTTGTACTGCAGTGTACTGTCTCTGGGTGGTAATGTAAACACAAGACGGATGTTACAACCTGACATGGGATCCATCTTTCACATAAAAAATCAATGAAATATTCTGGTCATAGGAAACTATTATGTGAATTATCAAAATTATCAAATTTAATGCTTTTACCTCCTTGGATACTAAACGAACACTAATGCATCTATTCTTGTTTACAAATTCCGCCCAAATAGAACTGGTTTCAATATGTACGCAGAGTATACACGACCGCAATTAACTTTCCTTGCATTACACCCTTGAGATAGATAAAGTTTATTGCTAAAATACATGTATCATGTGTACAGAACGAGTTTACAATTACAAATTGGTGATTATATTAATAGTACAAGTATAAAGCAATTAGGTGAAAAATAGCTCTTGGTTGTTTTGATTATTTTTTGATAACAAAACATTTCAAGTAAATTGATTTAAGGAGAACTATTAGAGATCTGGGTGCGATTTTATCTTATGCAAAATAAATTATACATTAATTAGAAGTTTATGGAACATTAGTTCCAAACTGTGATGTAGCTAGTTCAGGGGACATTAGTTCCAAACTGTGATGTAGTAGTTCATGGAACATTAGTTCCAAACTGTGCTTTAGTTCAGGGGACATTAGTTTCAAACTGTGATGTAGTTCAGGGGACATTAGTTCCAAACTGTGATGTAGTTCAGGGGACATTAGTTCCAAACTGTGATGTAGTTCATCGGAAGTTAGTTCCAAACTGTGATGTAGTAGTTCAGGGGACATTAGTTCCAAACTGTGATGTAGTTCAGGGGACATTAGCTCCAAACTGTGATGTAGTAGTTCATGGGACGTTAGTTCCAAACTGTGATGTAGATTCTAACACTGAGTATTAGAATGTATACAGTAATAACCAGAAAACTCTGAAATAGACTGACGACATTTAGACCCAATTTATGACTTTAAGTAGTCCTATGAGCATGGGACACAGAAATTGTGCAGGCCCATTTAATTTAATAAGGTAAACCACACAGGTCTGCAGCTTTAGTAATTGTAAATTGGCGGTACAGTCCAAACTAGGACCGCAGGGGTTGGCCCAGCTCGGATATTCGATTGTGCACCGGTTCTGCGTGAAACTATCTGCTTGGTAACAACATAAAAAACTTAAGTATTTTGATTTCTTCCAATTCTAGAATTTTATTTTGCTATCACCGTATCTTTTAATCCAAGCCGAGGAGAAAAACTAAAGCATATATTTATTACAAATAAGAAATGCTATTGTATTGCAACACAAATGTAAACTTTTAAACAATGATAAAGGGTGTAAAGAATTAATTTTGATGACAGTTAATTTTATTTTCGAACATATCCTGATTTTGCGAAAATGTTAAAAACTGCATCAACGTCATTACAAATAATTAATGTAAATAACCTAATTAATAATTAATTTATTAACTAATTTACTCCAGATAAATTGGTGATCACCGCTGATGAAGAAGAGAAACAGAATCCGGTAAAAATAAATATAATATCCCTGCTGGTAATATTTAATCCCGAGTCCCGACTGTAATGGTTTTATCCATGATAGCCGGGAAAACAGGAATTGCTTAATCCGAATATAATGAATTTGAGCCGTGTCTCAAATCCCCAAAACCGGTTTTTATTGAGCACCGGCTTAAACTTGAACATTGATTACGATTTCAAGTGGAACCAACCATATTTGAGCCGCGGCTTGAATTCTTTAAATTCGGCCTATAGTAAATAGCACGTTAGATGAAAATCATTTCCATTTTTTACATCTGACTTCTCTAGAGCTATAGAGAAGTACAACAACTTTTGAATTTCTACTATGTCAAAGTGGAGTGTGATTTTAGACTAGAGAGTCAACTGTCAAGATTTTTTATATACAGTCGAAATTTTTAAACCTAATGTTTTTCTATCAGACTAAATAAAACATACAATGATATTTAAAGTAATCACGCTTTTTTTGTTGATTTATATCTGAACTAGATTCTTAATATCTTCGGTAATATTCAAAGCACAAAAATGGCAGACCACTTTTGTGAAATCCCACACATGCATTTAACATTTCTGTCAATATTCCAGAAAGCTGTGACTTTCGAAAAAAAAACCTAAATACCTAAAAACCTAATTTGTGTATTATGATTATTCTAAAATTAGTGACCAATCCCTTTCAGTGCTCTGGGTTGAAAGAGTACGGATATGAAGAGCTGGAAGAAATGTTGAAGATTAAAGATCAATTTCTCCAGGTTAGACTCAAACTCTAATTTTCTTAGTTTTTATCCTTACTCTGGGTAATTTTGTTCGCTCGCGAAAGAACATATGCGAAAATTTCGCGAAAAAATAATGCGAAAATTTTTTGGAAAAAAAATGCGAAAATTTTGCTAAAAAAAATACGGTAGAGAAAGTTTTTTTGTGCAATTGGTTAAAAAATAACAATTTTTAGGGTCCTAAAGTTTCCAACTGGAGCGAAGTAAAAAGTAAAAGATAATCTCCGTTTGATTCTATATTCAATGTTATGTTATTACAGTACAATTGTTATTTTTAGATCTACAGACTTCAGACTACAGACTACAGACTACACACTACAGACTATAGACTACAGACTACAGACTACAGACTACAGACTACAGACTACAGTCTACAGACTGCAGACTGCAGACTGCAGACTGCAGACTACAGACTACAGACTATTGACAACAGACTACAGACCTAAAATTGGACATATAATTCCAATTTCTTGATCAAAACATAATTTTCTGAATATTTTAGATTGAAATAACAGCTGATGATTTGGAGGAAATATTCAAACCAACCCCGGAATATATTCTGATGCGAACCCTTCAAAACACAGTTATTTGAATTCAAAACACAGTTATTTGAATTCAAAACACAGTTATTTGAATTCAAAACACAGTTATTTGAATTCAAAACACAGTCTGTGATGTAGTTCAGGGGACATTAGTTCCAAACTGTGATGTAGTTCAGGGGACATTAGTTCCAAACTGTGATGTAGTAAAGAAGTTTTAGCTCCCCCAAAACTTTTTAACTTCATGTAAGACGACATTCACTACAGCTCCATGTATTTTTTTTCTTCAAAAATGATCTTTTTTCCAAAAACGACCGTTTTTAAAAAGTTCTTNTAAATTCAAAACACAGTTATTTGAATTCAAAACACAATTATTTAAATTCAAAACAAAGTTGTTTAATTTTAAACATAAATATCTAATTTTAAACATAAATATCTAATTTCAAAAATAAATATCTAATTTTAAACATAAATATCTAATTTTCAACATAAATATCTAATTTAAAACTAGATATCTAGTTTTAAAATCACAGTCTCTAATTTCAAAAAACAGTTATCTAATTGAAAAAAAACTTTTAAATCACAGTATCTAATTTAAAGAAATAGTATCTAATTAGAATCACATAATCCAATTTATAAACACATTTTTAATAATTCCAAACATAGATATCTAATTTCAATTTGATTCTTTAAGTGCATCACGTATTGAATTTAAAGCACATATTAAATATTTATGTAAACATAGTTAAGGGCAGAGGTGGGATATCTTTGTATTTTCACTTGTCGAGATAATTTTCAGTTCTATCCCAAATCAAATTCAAAATGTTAAAATTCAACCCTTTCAGACCATTTTATATCCAAGAAAAGTTGAAATATCAATGTTTTGTGATTTTGTATAATGTGAAGTGATGAATTGTTATGAAATAGAATTCTAAACCAAAAACCAGTTTAAAAATAAGAACAAAGAATAAATTAATTTTATTCTTTTGCTGGAATATTTTTCCACTAAAAATTGTTTACTACAGTTTTGTTATTCTTCAAAAAAGTTAAATGTTTGAATGGCTTGACTACACACTTTAGGAGCAAACATGACCAAAGTTTGTTTAATTATGGAAAGGATTCGAATCAACAATAAAGCAGAAAATTCACAAAAATATTTACTCAAATAATTTTAAAAAAGAAATCGTATCAGACTAAAAAAACTAAATATAACTAAATAAAGTAAAATGTGAAAATTTAAAAAGGGCTTTACATTTAAAGTGAACTTTCTATCTATCTATCTATCTATCCATCTATCTATCTATCTATCCATCTATCAATCTATCTATCTATCTATCTTTCTTTCCATCTATCTATCTATCTATCTATCTATCTATCTATCTATCTATCTATCTATCTATCTATCTATCTATCTATCTATCTATATATCTATCTATCTATCTATCTATCTATCTATCTATCTATCTATCTATCTATCTATCTATCTATCTATCTATCTATCTATATAATATATCTATCTATGTATCTATCTATCTATCTATCTATCTATCTATCTATCTATCTATCTATCTATCTATCTATCCCCCTGTATTTCATGACTGTAAATCTCCTCTCTGTATTGTATGGTATTATAGTGTGGACAAATTTAATGTTCCAAGGGTGGCTGAATATAAATTTTTAGAAAATGTTCGCGGCAAATCTGGACATTTAGGACTTTTAATTACAAAAATAATATGAATCTGTATATATACAAAGTAGAAATCTCTGTTTGTTTGTCTGTTTGTATGTCCGATCATAACTTCTGAACCCTCAAATTTAGATTGGATAACTCGGTAAACCCATGGGAATGTTTTTAGCTGGGTTTTAAAATTCTAAATTAAGTGGATTGACTATAATAGAGAAAGTTTTGTTTTCTGGAAAAGCTGGGTTCCCAAGCTATACAAATATGATAACACCAAATTTTATAATAAAATAAAAGCAACTTTTTTTATTTTTACGGTTGCTTGGTACCAAGGAACTTTATACAGGAACGTACAACTCAGATATACGTAAATTGTGTACTGTACACTGTGGGAGGAATGTAAACAAACCCACAGAAGTTGAAGGGAAAGGACTACAGCTCTGACGTGATATTACAGTCCAACAAAAAACAAGGTAATATATCAAGTTAGAGCGAATACATATGATTTTCGAATTTCTGGTCAATATGGAAAATACAATAGCAATATATTTTGATTCCACTCCTAGGGGCCTTTTACCTCAAAAATGATGCGTTGCCCCTGAATTCTTTGTTTTGATCTCCTCCCACTGCAGTACACAGATTTGACGCATGAGATGGCGGTTCCTGATTTATATATTTCTTGCTCTGTACTATTTTACTGTAATGTGATGTAAGCAGTTTTTGTTAAAAAGCATTTCCTAAATAATGATAATGTGCACCCGATCTGATTTTTCATGCAAAACTTTGTTGAATTTTCAATACAATACTCCTAATCCCCCCCCCC